TAATAACAACACTGCTGCTCAGCGTCCAATCAGCTCGAGTCATTTTGCTGCATGTTTGCAACGTAGAGCCTTGTTGTGTGGTGGAACGTAACTACAGTACATTTACTCAGTACCTTGTACTTGTCAAGCAGTATGACTCATTCCTGTGCATTAAACTACTCACTCTGTAGTATATAGAGTAGCTCAAACTATCCCAACCTGAAACATAAACAGCAGTGAAACACAACATGAACATTAATGCAGCAGTAATATATAATAAAAATCAGGACAGGAAACAGTGTCCTCCACGATTAGTGCTGTTATTTATCATTGTTGTTTCAGTGTTTTTGTTGTTGTCTGTCTGCATGAGAAGCAAAAAGTCTGAGTTTCTTGGATTCTGAGTTTAGTCTGAACACTTCACATGCTCTGCTGTGATTGGACGGCAGGTTTTTAATAATGCAGAGAAAAGGTCTGGAGTATTTTTTCTCCGTCTTCCTCTCTCCGGGCCGTCTGGCTGCACATGATAGGCATCAGCTCCACGTTCTGGAGCCTGTAAATGTAGTATTTCCTCGACAGCAAACACACACACACACACACACACACACACATATTCACAACTTGTATGGCAGGGGTTCAGCCCATCTGGGCCTCTGCTGAAGACAAAATGCTGTCATCCATGCCCTCACTTTCTAATCATCTTCCTCTCTCCTGCTGTCACGTCTTTCTCTTCCGTGTCGCTCCGTCTTTCTCGTTCCTTCTTCTTCTCAGCTGTTTGCACTCCTGCCTCTCTATCAGTCAGCTATCTCCTTCCTCATCCTCCCTCACTTCCTCTCAGTCTCATTTCTCAGTAATGACCTGATCTAATTGGATTTGGTCTGATATTCCTTCTGTGGCTGATAGCCGTGACCGTTGCTTGGCAGCTGGTGCCAAAACAGTGGCAAACATGGCGTGACACTGACGAGCCGGGTGAGAGTGGCCTCCATGATGGATCAGACAGTTACTGTGAATTATGCCTTCATGCTTTTAGATCTGCCTTTTAGGAGGATAAGTACAGGTTCTACGTAATCTTCAGGCTGATATCTGACATGTAGATGACATGTAGCGCCAGACAGACCATCAGATTTCGTCTGAGTGTGATTCAGGCCCTTCCTCTCTGGGAAGCTTTGCTGTATTAGAACAACTTGTATCATATTAAACACGATGATGAAGATTTAATAACAGCATGCTGGAGTGTAAGATAGCATTGGACGGGTTTTTTTTTTAATTACAAGGATTTATCGCTGTGAGATTATAAGTGAACTGTATGTCAGCGCTGTGAGCCGGCGGAGAGATGAAGGAGCGTCAGTGTGATGTCAGATTGAGATGATGTGTGTTCGAAACAGCAGCTAAAATACGCAGATTCATAGTTTAATGTTCAGCCTGTCAGCAGTTCAGCTTCCATTCAGCTCACATCAAGTCACCAATGTCTGTGTGACACATTTAAAACAGCACAGGTCAGGTGTTTATGAGGTGGGTGTTCCAGGTGATGGTTCAGACGTAGGTGTTTAAGCACATTTTGGGATATTATTAGAAACATTTTTTATGAAGCTTATGTTTCAAAGCTGGTTCATATGATAAACTTTTGCCCCCTAAATTCTGTCAAGACAAACTAAAAACACCAACAGCTGGTACTGATGGAGAGATGAGTGTCAGAGGAACCAGACCGGATGAAGACGGTCTGTGTGTGTTCTGTACAGGTGTTCACTGTGATGTGACCACAGAGACCCACTGAGTGGAAACATCATGCATTGAAACAGCTGCTTCTCAGTTTGGCAGAAGGACTTCCAGTAATCAGGATGTTGTGTAGACCCGCCCCTGGCCGTGACAACCTGCTTCAGGACATCCTCCGTCTTGTTTTCTGGTTTTTACTTTGTGTTGGTTCCGTTCTTGTCTCTCTCTTCACCTCTTTCAGTTTTCCAGTTCTCCTCTCCGTCCCTCTTCATCTCTCCTCTGTCCTGTTTTGTCTCAATTCTTGGCGGACTTTTAGTTTTCTTCTTTTCGTAGGATTTCATTTATTTTCTTCTTTCCTTGTCTTCACCACATCATTCTTCCACCTCTCGTCTTTCTGTCACCTCTCCCAGAGCCACATAATGTAGTAACGCTGAAGTCTCTGCTGTGGAGGCGTCATGAGTCTGTGTTCATGCATAAGTCTGTGTGTGAATCTGCTGCACGTTTCAGGAGCAGAACAACAATTTAGAAGGACTATTCTGTCTCCTGTCAGATCCCTGACTGCCCCCTGCCCTCCCCACCAGCCCTCACACACTCATTCAGTTTGTCTGACAGCACACACGTGATTATACACATTTGCACACGCTGATAGTCATCATGAACTGGGCCTGAACATCCAGAGAGCAGAAAGTTCTACTGGGACCAGTCCTACTAGTTATTATAACAATAATGAACAACTAATGAGCCTTCCAGCATCAAGCCCTCCTCGTATCTGGACCTCCGTCTGGACAATCCGACAGCCTTGATATCCCACATAGAAGAAGGTTTTACATTTAGTGTCAGATTAACGAGTCACGACTGGACTTTATGTAGCAGTTAGGAGGAAGTCCTGAACTAGTTTCTCTCCACTTAGAGGTCCATGGCCTGAAGAAGATGATTGAGCTACGTGATCTAAAAGTCTGTTCCACTGATGTCCAGTCTGTGCTTTGTATTGAGAACCCATTAAGAGCCGAGGAACCCTCTAAGCACACATGCAGGTGTTTGCATATGTTTGACAAAGCAGGAGACTGCAGAAACAGAAAGCATCGTCTTTCAACAGTCTGCTGTCACTGATGATGTGTTACAGCTGTTCCATCCACAGCTTTAGCACATAGAACAGATCTATGGAAGAACCAACATGCACAGTTTGTTGGAGCAAAGATGTGTTTTAGTCATCCCAGCGTAAATAATTTAAAGTTACAGGAGTGAGCTGAAGACCGCCGTGGTCTCTGTTCCCGGCCCTGGATGTGGATGGATTACCTGCTTGGATAGGAGTGTCCGCTACACGCTTCCATTGTGTTCATGCTTTACTGCACGGTGTGCCGTTATCTCACATCCAAACACGCGTGGTTGTGTTTGCCGCTACGTGTGTGTGTGTGTGTGTGTGTGTGTGTGTGTGTGTGTGTGTGTGTGTGTGTGTGTGTGTCCGGCGTCTCACTACGGTGCACTGCTCAACGTGGGACCTTTTAATTAAAGGAGAAGTTTCATTATCAGCTCCATTAGTCAGTTCCTGGCCCGTGTCAACACACACAGACACGCGCTGAAGGAGTGCCGCTAGCTGGGCTGCTGTAATGTTTAACCTGGTGTTCTGTTTGACGATGAGAGTGTAATTTATTATCCACAATAATGAGAAGTGACCCCATTTCCAGTCAAATGAGAGAGGCGGAAGAGAGGCGTTATTATAAGTCATCGTGTCATCGTTTCCATTGTGATGCACGCCACCCGCTGGACCGCACGGTTCTACTGCAGAAAAACAAACAGTTTGATTTTCATTCAAATCATTTTTAAGCCTTCAGTGTCTCAGTGAGTCTCTCTTTTACCTTTAGTATTCTGGTGAGCCTGCCACTGTGGCTTCTTTCACTTATTAAATCCATTTTAAATGCAGTTCAGTTAGTTGGAAAAAAAAATCTGCACATTTTGGCCTTTTGGAAACCAATTACGGTGGAAAATGCTGGGCCCTTGAGCTGTAAGAGTGGAGCTGTTTGTTTGACACAGTTGACATTTCAGATAGAAGACCGTGAGCGGGCCTTGCATTTCCACACAGTCTGTTTTCCTTTTTCTCACTGAGGCCTGAGAGAGCTCAGTCATTGTGCCAATTGTCAACTGCAGGAGAACAAGAAGCTGCAAGTTGATAACAGCTCAGATGTAGTTTCAGACGGCTGTGATGGTCGTTGTAGAGAACACCTGTGATGCTGCGTCCACGCTGCAGGATGTGGGTCTGATATGAAGTCAGTGTGTCAGAGCAGCTGTCAATGGTTATCATGACTGTCTTGACTATTTATGAAAGAGGGGCCTGGGATCCCCCACAGTGGTGGTGAAAGCTGTCTGTGGTACTGGTTGTCTTGGCCACAAGGACCGTATGGCTCAGCTATCCTGTCATCTGTTTTTCTACTTTGCCATGTTGTGTGCAAGGTGGCTCAGTGGTTAGCACCATCGCCTCACAGCTAGAAGGTCACCGGCTGGCGGTATTTGCTCATGTCCATACTGTTCATCATTTAACTCAGTAGTTTTAATCGGTTCACTTCTGCCAAATTGCTTTCTTTTCTATGAAGTCTCTGCTACAGATTTAGAGCTTTTAAAAGCCTGATTAGATTATTCTGCAAAGCAGGAACAACTTTAAGAATGAGTTTTATTCCAAGCTACGGCCTGGATAAAAGTAATAACATGTGCGCTCAGTAAATAATTGAAAGAACAAAACACACTGAGGAAGAGCAGAATGGTTTTAGGTTGTAGCAGCATCTGGTTCTGTTTCATAAACAGCTCCACGAGGACTGGGATCACACTTCAGAGTGTCAACTAGCTGAAAGAAGTGCTTCAGTGAGAGGAACAAGGGGAAGCTGTGCTGACTTCCTCCAGCTTGTGGTGTGACGGTGGAGGCCTGGAAGTGGCACGCTGATTGATATGATGAGGATGCAATTAGCCCTGAGCAACATTAGAGGAGCCTGTTATCATGCTAAGCACCACTTATGTCTGCTGTGTCTGTGACAGGGAGGCCGGAGTCTGTACACACACACACACACACACACACACACACACACACACACACACACACACACACACATATGTCTGTGTGTATTTAGAATCACAGTCAAGCTGGAGCTGATGTATTTTGATATTTACCAGAAGAGTCTGTGTGCTTCCTTCATGCTCCTTCAAACTGCTGCTGTACATCTGATGTACTTTCTGATTCAGCCTCATTGCATCACAGAACCGCACACGGACACGGATCTGTGCGGTTCCTCTTTACTGACTCTGGTTTTCTTTTCTCCTGGCAGATGAAAGAGAAGACGTTCAGAAGAAGACTTTCACAAAATGGGTAAACTCACAGTTGGCTAAGGTAAGACAACTTCTGCCAGTCTTCTCCTGGTCACACACTGTGGAGCTATCTGGTGCCTTTGGACGTTTATCTCCTGAACGTACACCTTGAGCTTTGTGACTGAGTTTTGGATGCTGAGCACTCAATGTTCTGGTGTCATATCAACAATGAAGAGACGTATTGTTTGTCTATAAGGTGTCAGCAGCCCAACACCTGTCAGAGTGTTTTGTACCTGATGATGACGACATCATTGCCTCACATGCCCTTATGAATAAACACATACGAAATAAAGCAGAAGCCTGTTGGACGCACAGGGACATGCAGATGCAGCCATGTGGGTTCTGGTTTAGTCCAGAACATACATCCTTTGGATACTGGAAGGTTTTGATGACATCAGCTCCTCAAATGAAGACACGACTTTTGTTTTGTCTGCCTGACTGTCCAGCATGCAGATACTCAGGGTGAATTCCATTTACTGTCAAAGGAAACCACGAGCCTCATGTGATGGCATTAGTCTTTACCATCACTGCTCAGACTCTTCAAACTGAGATGTTATTCACACGGATGTTAACTTTCCAATAACGTCTCAACATTGCTGATATAAAGCACACATTAGGTCTTTATGATTTAACCGATGTAACAATAATAATTATGCAGCTTTCCTGGTTGTGTTGTTATTTGGTCCCAACTAATCTTCTCGTCTTTTGGGTTCTCTGATTATTGCACAATCAGAAGTGACTTTGCCTTTGAGTCACTTCATGTTTGTTCTCTTTCTTACCCTTTACCAGCGAGGCAGGTGGAGAGCTGGTTTGGTGAACATTCTGAAGCAGGAAACCAAACATGTTGCTGGTCTGCAAGCAGTTTGTTCAAATACCATCTTAATAAAGAATAAAATAAACAGAGCTTCAGTTTGAACTGAAGCGACAGTGTAGTGATGTATTTGTAGTATGTATATTTATAAGTGTAGCCCTGTGATAGACTGGTTACCTGTCCAGGTGAACCTGCCTTCACCCTGAGTCAGCTGGGATAGGCTCCGCCCCCCATGACCCTGGTGAGGATTAAGGTGTAGAGATGATGGATGGATGGTTTCAGTGGCTGCGGCTGTTTGTTTGAGCATGCAGGATGGAGCACCCAGAAAGAAGTGTCTCTGTGATTCGCTGTCTACTCCGTTCACGTTCTCACGTCTTGTACGATTCACGTATTTTTAGATCAACCGTGAACTTCCTGTTTTTGGTTTCCACTGTAATCAAGCTTTCATAAATCTGCTTGGAAAATTTTACCAAAAAAAGACACTCCTTCTAACCTGAGAAGCAGAATCATGGAGTTTTTAAGTAGTTTTCAGACCCAAAGTGATCCGGTGGCAGCTGCCTGTTCAGCCATCAGGAGCTGTTTATAGCCCAGGACTTTATTTTTAGTCGTGTCATGTTGGGAGGAGCTGCTGGCTTTTGTCTGAGGGAGGGCCCACCGTGTCAGACTTTGAACAGCTCTGTTATTAATTCTGGACTCTCTGTGGTTCAATCTTCCCTCCTCTGCTTGGTTTCATGTGCTTCCTCCTCCGAGCTTCAGGGTTTGTTGTATTTAATGCCAACAGCATCTTCCTCCTCCTTCCTCATGTTTTCTGTTCATCTCTCAGACTCACTGACGATTCTAGTTTCCTTCACGGTTACAACTCAGACACACAAACCAGCAAAGGTTACTCCCTCCTCCTCCTCATCCTCATCCTCCTCCTCCTCTTCATCCTCCTCATCCTCATCCTCATCCTCATCCTCATCCTCATCATCCTCCTCCTCCTCATCCTCATCCTCATCCTCATCCTCATCCTCATCCTCATCCTCCTCCTCCTCCTCCTCTTCCTCCTCCTCATCTTCCTCATCATCCTCCTCATCCTCATCCTCCTCCTCATCCTCATCCTCATCCTCATCCTCCGCCTCCTCCCCCTCATCCTCCTCATCCTCCTCCTCCTCTTCCTCCTCTTCCTCCTCTTCCTCCTCCTCATCTTCCTCATCATCCTCCTCATCCTCATCCTCCTCATCATCCTCATCCTCCTCATCCTCATTCCCCTCCTCATCCTCCTCATCCTCATCCTCATCCTCATCCTCATCCTCCGCCTCCTCCCCCTCATCCTCCTCATCCTCCTCCTCCTCTTCCTCCTCCTCATCTTCCTCATCATCCTCCTCATCCTCATCCTCCTCATCATCCTCATCCTCCTCATCCTCATTCCCCTCCTCCTCCTCCTCATCCTCCTCATCCTCATCCTCCTCTTCCTCCTCCTCATCCTCCTCATCATCCTCCTCATCCTCTTCCTCCTCCTCCTCCTCCTCGTCCTCCTCATCCCCCTCCTCCTCCTCCTCGTCCTCCTCATCCTCATCCTCCTCTTCCTCCTCCTCATCATCCTCATCCTCCTCCTCTTCATCCTCCTCATCCTCCTCATCTTCCTCCTCCACCTCCTGCTCCTCATCTTCCTCCTCCTCCTCCTCCTCCTCATCCTCATCCTCCTCATCCTCCTCCTCATCCTCCTCATCCTCCTCATCCTCCTCCTCATCCT